GCTTTTAATAAACAGCTTCTGCCACTCCACAGAAGCACTTATTTTTTCTCAAAAGCTTTGACCAAGCACCTCACTTTTTAAAAATAAGCACTTTTGGCCTCTCAAAAGCTTGGCCAAACTGGCTATAATTATGTGATACTTACTAGTTGGGTTACGGTTTAAGCGTGTTGGTATGTTTACATTAGATTTAGTGTTTTCCTAGTTTGAGTGAATTAAGAAATATTTAGATCAGTAGGAAACATAGAGAACCTCTTAGTTTTAGTGAACTCTAATTGTTTGGTATTGCAATGGAACATGTCCAAATGGGGAAAATGGATAATGCGGATTTGTATTAGTTACCCAACTAAGAGCCCGTTTGGATTGGCTGAATTAGTAAGGAAGTCTTAATCATGTCCTGTATGTTTCTTATGTATATTTAGGGTCTATTGGGCTACCTCCTGATTTTATAGTATGCCTTTTGTGTACATACTATACTCATCCTGATAAACATGTTATTTTCTTCTATCTTATGTGCCATCAAATTCTCCCTCTTTCACACTATTTTCTTGTTGGGTCCAATGTACACATACATTTCTTGTTGAAGGGGCGTGAAGGTGGAAGGGTGGAATTTGTATTCTGTACCAAAGGTTATGCTATTGTGTTACTACTTATGTTACTTTTATCTTTTTATACTTTTGTGTTACTACTGTATTTATTTTGTATGTAAAATGTTGGTTGAAATTAATTTAAATGGAGAAACATGGTTACTGAGAATTCTTGCCGCTATTGCATCTGACAGTGGGTGTGTTATTGTTGTTTGTTATTACTGTTTACTTCTTTCTTCCTAAATTTCTTCTTTGACAGGTTGGAGAGGACTGAAGCAACCCTTTCTCTGGGATCACAGATCAATTTTTTCTTTAACCTATGAGATTGTTGTTTCCCCGTTTTCACCCATTGGCCTTTTGTCCTTTGTTATGCCAATATTATCTTGCATGACTTGATGTTTAGAGCAATCTATGGCTCATTTGGCTTCTTTTTATCTACTTTGTAACTGTTACTACCAAAATGGAATTATATAACAAAAGGAAGGAGAAGAAATAATTGCTTTTATCTGCATCTTCTTTCTTGTGTTGTGTTTCACTCCTTTGCTGATGGAAGTATTCTGTGGCCTCTGAGCTTATGAAGTAGAAATTGTTGAATAAAGTTTCCTCCCTTTCCAAATTTTTCAATGAGCTATGTATTTGCTCTATGGCACTTGCACAATTTTCATGAATTTAATAAATTGGATAATATCATTTTTAGTCCCTCAGTTATGAGTATATTTTAATTTTGGTCTTTGTGATATATGACTTGACACGATTGATCTTCAATTAATCAAAATATAGTGCTTTTGGTTCTTTTATGTAGGAAATCTGATATATTTAGACTAATTTAGAAGTATATTTTACTCTAAAATATGAAATTATTACACTAGTTTAACATAACATGAGGAAGTACAGGGTGGGACTGTTAATAATTTAAGAAACAATTGCGACTATTTACAAGAAATGGATCAAAAATGTATATCTCGAATAATTGAAGGTTAAACATGGTTAATTGGATACGAAAAGGATGAAAATAAGAGTTTACTAATAATTGAGGGATAAAAAAACTACATGACCTAATAAATTTGATGTGATTTTATTTCCTATATCAATTAAAAGATCGAATTATTAATTTAATTCAAGAATTAGTGGGTGTTTGGATTGGCTTAAGTGCATGGAGGCAAATAACTAGTTCCATAGGGTTCACAATATTTATAAAAGCAGATGAAGCATTATTTATTTATAGCATCTGAAACACAAGTAATTTGTTTTGTGTTACATACCACAATTTATTCAACAAAACACCAAACACATATAGAACTTCTTTTCATTTTCTTCAGAATTATAACGTTCATCTTATTCAATTGCCATGTGTGTTTGTTGTGTCGCTCATGCATGAACAATCAGGACAAGGACATTCAATCTTTTCATTAATAGAACTAGTCATGCAAGAGCAATCAGGGCAAGGACACTCAACCGTAGTTAACAAATTCCTTGTCCTTGGTAAGCTTAAATTCACTGAGTATGTTATTGGTATGACCCTTGACTCAATAGTTTCAACATCGCTCTCAATCGACTCAATGCTTCCAACATAGAAGCAAAGTGCAACAACCATGAAAATCAACACAACTGATATTTTCTTCCCCATGATTTGAATTAGTATTTTTGCTATATACTGATGTGGTTGCTCAAAGCAATTGAATTGTTGAAATTTATAGTCATACATTTTTTCGATGTTAACATTGAATAATTAGTACTAGCTGGGATATCTATGTTGTATTAGAAGAAGCTAATTAGTATATGCTTTTTGGTATTCTCTATTTCGTCTATATATGTTTCTTTAAAAATAGTGATGCCAAATTCTCATGGAAAATTAAGATTGAATTGATGCCCCCTATGGACCATATAAGGCATCAATTGAAATGACTACCTAATCCATATTTTGATTTAAACTAATATAACCTATAAGAAGTTTGTACGAATGAATTTATCCATGCTCATAGGTTTCATAAGTTTATTCAGTAACTAGTTAAAGTTAGGTAGGAATTAGTATTGTAGTAGTTAGTTATGACTTAAGAGTAAATGTTTATATTATTTAAGGTAAGTATTAGTTATATATATGAAAGAATTATTTATTTATATATTAGTTTTTCACCTTCTATCCTGCATAAAATGATACATAGATGTCCTCATAACTTAAACATGCATTAATTGTGTGTGTTTCTAAATTTTCAATCAAACACCGTATTAATTTAATACATGAATAACTTATTTCATATCTACCTACCAAACGTCATATAAGTTATACCAAAATTAATACCTAATAAACGTGTTTCTTATCCAACTACCAAATGATCCCTACACATTTATCATATGTACCGATAATAGATATAAAAATTTTAACATGGTGAGAAAAGAAAAAATCGCAAAAAGTTTAAGACGTGAAACACCAACAAAAATATTATTCCTTCCATTCTAATTTTTTTTTTGTCTTGTTTTGACGTAGCACAAAATTTAAGCAAATAATAAAGTAGAAAAAATTGCGTAATTAGCAAACATGTGATATGCATTTACAATACACCATTATAATTTGAAAGAACTACAATTTATAACTATAGTTAGGGTTTTGTTGCTATTTTCACTCTCCTCCTCGCCTCTCGCCTCCTCTCTCCCAACACAAATACAAATGATAACAATCAATTATACAAACACAAATATTAACGGTCAATTATACAAATGATAACAATCCATTATAATAAGAGTCAACAATATCTATATCCTTAATTTTCAGTGAAACAAAATACAAATACACATGTATTCACTGATACATATGATAACAATCAATTATACAAATACAAATGTTGAACTTGATACAAATTGAATTCGTTAATACAATTGATACAACATTGATAAAAATGATAACAATTAATTATACAAATACAAATGTTGAACTTGATATAATTGTAATTCGTTGATACAATTTACATTGATACAAATTGTATTCGGATACAAATTGTACTCAGTAATACAATTGTATTCATTGATACATATACATACTAATTAGTATATAAAGTTATCCAGCAAATATACAAATACAGTCATTGATATGTATATACATATTAGTTACATATATGCAATTATCTAGTAGATATACAAATACAATTCGTCTATCTCCTCTCTTTGCCCTCTCTCACTCGCCTCTCTCATTCTCGCTCACCTTTCTCCCTTCTAAGATGTAGCTACGAATCGTATTTAAGCAAACTTGAGTTATTTTGCTTCATTATATTTTAAGCCTTTGCAATTTTTGAAAGTTCCTCAATAAAGAACACTTTTGAATTTTTTGATTTTAAATTAAAGAAATATAGAATGTACCAAAATTTTCATAACTTTGTGATTAAACATGTCATGTAGAAAATTAAATTAATGAATTACCAAAAAATAAGAACTAAATATTTTTTTAAAACAGATTAAAAAGAAAAGTATTGATAAATGATATGAAACAGAGTGAGCATGTGAATATCTGATCTAAGCTGAAGAAAGGCTTGATTATCGACCTCTTTATGCGATTTGCTGTCAGTGAACAGTTACTTCAGTTATTAGTATTGGTTGAAAATGAGGTTCTTTAAACTCACTTCATAAGACTAAAGAAAGAAAGTTTCAAATAGGAAAATGCATTTCACATGCGCTTACCATCGTGCCCACCATCGTGTCAAAAGCTATAGCTAATAGCAAAGACATAACTTTATTTCTTAACTAAGTCCACTAAAAAAGTGTCATGTTCGATCACGACTCCGATCCGGATACCTCGTGGGCCTTGCCAAAAACAGGATGTTGACATTACTCAACAATCCCCCTCCCAACACAATGCTTACCATCATGCCAAAAGCTATATATTCTTCAAAGAACAGCCTTTCTGCTATTATAAGAACCAAAACATGGTAACTTCTAGGTGGCACTTATTTGAAAATTAAGTTCACAAACTCTGTTTAGTTGTTCACAGTTTGCAAAAAGTTTTAAAACCATTTTGCATACTCTGATTTTGAAAATTTTCAACCAAATGCCTAGACATGCTCACAACTCATGTTTGCTTGTTTGAATCACCTTCTTGCACATGGTATGAAGGAGATTGCACCTTTCAAAGAGAGAAAATGCCAGTACTATTATTGTTTTTTATAGCCTTTCAAATGATAAGAATCAATCCATCCAATCAAAATTGTTTCTTCTTTGTTAATGTACAAGGCAGTTGATTATCCTGCTTTTTTTTTGTTTTTTTTTTTATGATTGTGGTGTTCGGGTGAGTTTTCGCTTACTTTGACTAATTTCACGAGATACCTACCACCTCCCACCAACAAGAGCTATCAGGTTATTGTGCTATTTGTTGTCAGTGAATAGTTACTACTGTTGTTGAAAATGAGATTTCTTATACTTCATAAGACAAAAGAAAGGAAGTTTCAAATTGCATTTCACACAACAGATTGACTATTCACAGAATGAGTATCAATTTTCAGAAAGTAGTCCATCATGCAGCCAGTTTCTCATCATCAAGAATGCCTCTTCTGCATCTTTATCGTCTTCTAAAGATTGAGGTCGATGGGCAAAACCATGACCCCTTCCTTCAAATACCACCATTTTGCAACCATTCGCGTTATTTTCAACCTCCTTCAACACATTCACAGGACAAAGTGGATCATTGTCACCAGCAATAAGTAGTAGTGGTACCTCAATCTTGCTAGCAACAGATAAGTCGATCCGTGTGCCATAGAATGAGATCCCAACACCAAACTCACTACCCTGGTCTTGAGCCAATATGTCTATTAACAGGCCACCGCCAAAGCAAAATCCAATCACTCCAAACTTCTTTGATATTCCTGCAGCCACAAATTCATCGGCCATCCATTTAGTCGATGTGAAAATGTCTCTCACAACCTGTTGTTTGTCTACACTACCGATCCATTGCTCAAACAAAGCTTTGGGTTCATCCTTTCTCCATGGATTTCCACGGAACATATCTGGTACCAGAACACTGCAAAATCATTCAACAAGGAATTCAATTCATGACTTGAACTTGGTTGATTCTCTTGCACATGGTATGAAGTATGATAACCAAAGGAAGCACCTTTTATAAATAGAGAAGGTATACGATGACTTACTTGTATCCATTGCATGCAACACGGTATGCAAAATCTCTCGTAAATGAGTCCTCAAATCCAAAGATATCAGATAAGAGCAAAATGCCAGTACCATTGTTGTTCTTTACAGCATTACAGAGATAAGCATCAATGCTATCAACTCCATCCCCAATGGAAAGCTCAACTCCATTAACTAGTTCACAAGCCTCATCCTCTACTTTCACATTGCAATTAAAGACTTTGTATTTCTTAGTCTTTCTGAAGGATAACGAAATAGTACCCCAACACTTCACATAGTTTCTCTGGACAATAACTGAAGCATGACAGTCAGCCCTTCATCGAGAATCATCAAATAATTTTAAGCAACTCAATCACAACTTATAAAAACACTATTACTTTGTTTCTTTGTTAGTGTGTGTATTCTTTGAATCTACTAGGAAATATGGAACGACGAATGGAGATTTTTAGAACAACTGAGCTTTTAATTAGAAGATGGTACTTATTTTCAGAACAGCAGAGTTTAGGGTAATACAAATTTGTCTCATATTCAGTTTTCTATTGTGGGAAGAGCATGGTCTCAGCAACAAGAAGCTAAACATATAACCAATTGCATAGGATTCACAATATTCATGAAACTAATCAAACATGAGGCACTGTTATTTATTTATAGCTTCTGAGGCAATGAAACACAAACGGAAAACTCCTTATTTTCTGTTACAGCAGTCAAGAACCACAATTTATTCTACACAAAAGACAATCTAACATTTTTGTTTGTTTTCGAAAACCTTCACTGACATTGGAAACTCGAAAGTTTCCAATCTTGTGGTCTTGTTTCAATGACCTTCTGTTTTTGCTGAGTCAGTCATGCAGGAACAATCAGGGCAAGGACATTCAACTTTCTCATTAATAGAACTAGTCATGCACGAGCAATCAGGACAAGGACATTCAACCGTAGTTAGCAAATTTCTTGTTCTTGGGAAGTTTAAGTTTACAGAGTATGTTTTGGGTAAGAAGCTTGACTCAATGGTTCCCGGAGTTTCGACATGACTCTCAATTGACTCGCTCGTACTGACATAGAAGCTAAGTGCAACAACCATGGAAATCAAGGCAACTGAGATATTCTTAGCCATGGATAAAAAAAAAATTTGAGTTTAGTACCTGTGTAATACTTTTGCTATTATTGATGTGGGATGTTGCTCAAAGAAATTGAATTGTTGAAATTTATAGTGATAGATTGATAATATTGTTCAATAATAACATTAAATAATTAGAATAAATCTATGTTATATTAGAGTATATGCTTCTTGGAATTAGTGTTCCCAAACAGTGATTTGTCTTGGAAAGTTAAGATGCTATGGGTGCCCGCCTATGATATTAGTCGTACATAATATTATACAGATAATTTATATGTATCATTCAGAAGCTAAATACTAAGCAAAGTCAGAAAAAACATACCGAAAATGAAAGATGAAAAGGAGCATCAAGTGGTGTCTCTCTTCTTTTAAGGAGACTGCTCGTAGTCGTTCTTGGAACTGTTGAACATACAAGGGCTGACTCCATTTTTCCAACTCTGTTTTCTGGTAATCAAGTAAAGATATGTGTCAAATACAGAGAAAAAAAGAAAAGAAAAGAAAGGTGACTAACTAGTGGACAATGGAGAAAATATCTTTGCCTTCAACAATTAGAGCCTCAAATGTTAAATATCTCTATGTTTTATCTTCTTTCTTTGCCAACAAGGACCTCAATCCTAAATAATTTCACAAATTATAGTCAATAGAGTCTTCCCTTTTTCTTTTTTTTTTCAACTCATTGACACATTTAAAATTGGAAAAATTACAAGAATATAATATTTAAGAATTTAATTAACAATATATGTATATACTCCTTTTTATTTATAAGATTAGATTTTTAATTACAAACATGACAAAATATTTAATTTTATATATATATATATATATATTTTATTTTCTTATTTATTTCCTTTTGGGGGGTTATATGCTAAATTTATGGGATTGATAATTATTGTTTACTTTTTGGCTTTTCAACCATAATTAAACTCTTTTGTATTATTCTTTTCATATATATTGAATTTTTCTATTTTAAAAAAAATTATATTTTAGTATCCGATTTGTTTCATTTTTTTGGAGGGTTATGTGCTAAATTTATGGGATTGATAATTGTTGTTTTTTTGTCTTTCTAACCATATTTATACTCCTTTATATCATTTTTTTTGCCCATATATTGAATGTACCGTATAATATATATACCAATATTGTATCATCTAAAATATCAAAATTATACCAACATTATATCATCTAAAATATCAAAATTGTACCAACATTGTATCATCTAAAATATCAAAATTGTACCAACATTGTATCATCTAAAATACCAAAATTATACCAACATTGTATCATCTAAAATATCAAAATTATATCATGTGAAATACAAATATTATAGCAACATATGCACCATCTAATAAACTGAACTTGTTGATATTTTGTCATATTTTTTTCTCAAATTGTCAGTTTATAACATAACGAAAATTATTATTTTAATAATATTATCTTTTAAAATCAACACTAGTACAAACTTGAAAACTTGAAATTACACTAAAACGATGTGATACCATTCACGAATAACATTGAAAATTTCTAATATCAAAATTGTACCATATAATAACACTAACATAGTACCATATAATATACCTATAATTATTAAATTCTACCTCATATAATATACCAATCTAGGTGATATTTTGTGTCATTCTATTTTTCTTAGAATGAAATTTATACCACAAGGGAAACCAACATTAATAATAGGACTAATTATATTATATGATTAAATATAATTCTTTCTTTTTTTAATACAACGAATAAAATTCAAAATCGCTAATATCATTCAATAAGATTCTGAAAGAAAAAAAACGTGTAATAAACAAAAAAATAACTCAACAATATTAATCCTCATATGGTTATTTGGTATAAGTTTTCCTGGTCATCTATATGCTATAACATATTTTCTAAAACATACTTTAGATCTCTTGAATTTTTTTTATTTTCATTGGTATTTGCGTCATATATTACTCCTTCAATCTTGAAATTCACATATCTTCTTGCAGTACATTTCAACAAAAAAATTAAAGAACCTACTAAACACCAGTTATAACAATTAAATTTAAAACACATAATCATATTTTTAATATCACCAAACAAAAATACAAAAATTACATACAAAATGGTGTATAATATGGTTAAAAATTGATGTCCACTTCATTATTCTTATAATGAAATTCGAACATCAATTTATAACCAACTATATGTATATCATTAATTTATGAAGATTGATAAAGTTAAACTTGATTATATGTAACATCATAATTTAATCAAAAAATACATCAACTATGACATAGAAGTATACGAAATAAATATAGAATGTTGGTGTTGATTTAAAACCTAATATATAATATTGATTACACTATATCATTTACAACAAATAAACTGTCAATTTGACCAAATAATCTACCAAAACACTATCTATAACAGATCGTCAAACTCAACTTTATGGTGTTTGAAAACGGCCTAAAAATAACAATTACTTCAATATATGTGCCAAAAAAATACATCTATATTACACCATCAAAATTTACCAAATAAATAAAGAATGTTGATATTCATTAAAAACTTACTACAAAAATCTAATTACACTTAGGGTGTGTTTGGTATGAAGGAAAACATTTTTCGGAAAATGTTTTCCAATTTTCTCATGTTTGGTTGGGTTAAATGTTTTGGAAAATGTTTTCCAAATCAACTCATTTTCCTCAAATTTAAGGAAAATGACTTCCCTTCAAAACTTAAGGAAAACATTTTCCAAAACTCTCTTCCAACTTCTAATTTAAAAAAAAATTGTTGAAAAAATCAATTTATTTAATCCCTACCCTCAAACCACCCCCTAAAAAAATAATTTAAAGTTTGTTTTTAAATTCAATATTTTTACCCCACCCTCACCCCTACCCCCACTCCTACCACCACCCCTCCCAAAAAACTATTAAAAATTATTTTTAAAAGATATTTCTAATTTCAATTTTTTATTCTTTTACACCCCCACCTCCTACCCTCCCCCCAGCCCCCCACCCCCTTCAAAAAGAAAAAAATTTAAGTTTGTTTTTAAAAAATATTATTTCATTTTTTCACCCTTACCCTCGACCCCCCTACCCTGCCCCCCCACTACCCAAAAAAAATGTAAATTTATTTTTAAAAAATATTTTCGACTTCAAAATTTCAGTTTTTCACCCCTACCCTCGACCCCCACCCACCCAACCCCTACCAACACCCCCCCACCCCCGCAAAAAAAAATTTAAGTTTGTTTTTAAAAAATATTTTTAACTTTAAAATTTCAATTTTTCACCCCTACCCTCGACCCCCCCACCCACGCCCTACCAGCCCCCCCACCCCCTACCCACCCCCCAAAAAAAATTTTAAGTTTGTTTTTAAAAAATATTTTTAACTTCAAAATTTCAATTTTTCTCCCCTACCCTCGACCCCCCCCACCCCCACCCCTTACCAGCCCCCACCCCCCAAAAAAAATAAGTTTGTTTTTAAAAAATATTTTCAATTTCAACAATTATTTTCTACTCTAGTAAAAATAAAAGAAATTTTTCAAAAACATTTTTCATTCATAAATCAAACACTAAAAATCTTTTTCGGAAAATATTTTCTACTCACCAACCAAACATGAGAAAATAAGTCAAATATCAACTTGTTTTCCAAGAAAACATTTTCTAGGAAAACATTTTCCTTCGTACCAAACACACCCTTAGTCACTTACCAAAATATACTCACGAGATATGCAGTTAATACATGACTTAAAACATACCTTCACTTTCAACAAGTAATCTACCAATATACAATCGTCAATACACATAACAATCACGAGTTGGCAGACTAATAACAAATTAATATAAACTATCAATTACTTCAATACATCTACCACAAAATATATCAATTACACCAACAAATTATATTAAAAAATTTAATGACTGTTGGTGTTAATTTAAAACCGATATACAATATTAATTATACTATATAATTTACAATAACTACACTTTCAATTTCACTAAATTATCTCACCTGTTACTATTAATAATAGATCTTCGTAATCAACTTTAACAACCCTCACAAGTACACCATAATCGATGCCACAAACAATCTACCCAATTTTAATTCAGAATCACATACTTTTAAGAAATCGGTGTGCTCAATGATGTAGCTTTCTATGTAAAAAATACAATTGAAAACAAATTTCATATTTTCTTTTGAATTTTTTTCTTATTTTTCTTCATCTTTTATCCTCTTTCTTTTCTAAAGGAAAAAATAACTAATCAAAATTTAAATATTTTATCTTTCAAGTGCAATTCAAATTAAAAAAATTTATTTAATTTTAATTCATTTTATACAAATAGGTTATAAATTAAAATAGTTTTTAAAAGTGATGAATTATATATAAAAATATTCCAAGTAAAAATTATTATTTACAAATAGTTTCAAAGTAGTTATAACTTCTCAACTTTATTCTTAATAAATAATTCAGAAGTAAATATTTTCTAAATTTTTATCTTTATCGACATCCTAAATATTTGAGGGTTAGAATTTGATGTAAAATGTGTTTTTAAATAACATGGAATATTATAAATATTATTACTATTGTGTTGATTTTTTTTAAAAAAAATAAAAAATAGAAGACAAACATAAAAAAATGAAATAATATGAAAGATTCTTAATCTGGAAATTAACTCCCCAATCGAATCTAACTACCCCACGTTATGTCGTTATCCCTGTTTCCTAATTTTTCTCACACTAATAGATCTTAGTCAGACAAAGAGAAATGGAAGAACAATCTTAAAGAGACATTGTACAAACTATGAAGTGCTACACATGGGTAGAATTGTCTTTTGCCGCTGTGCAAACACCCGCTCTCCATTCATTAATCATCTATCTATAAACACCGATGTCTTTTGCCGCTGTGCAAATTAAACAACCCTCACATCGAATGCAGTTGCCGCCTTCATCAGGTATTGCACTTCCGCACTGAACAGACAACAAAAGCCAGAATGAATCCAACAATATTTGAAGCAAAGGACATGGTTAAGTCAAGAAAATAAAGAAAAGACTTGACAATAGATCAAAGATATTTTAAGCAATAAAACACCAAGAGGGTAAAATTATATGTGTAATTATTATTATTATTATTATTATTATTAAATGAATAACAGAATAGCAATACTCTATAGATTATAATTTATTCAAATTTTATAAATTAAATAGATTAGATATTTTTGTATTACCATCAACACATCAACTAATAACAAAATCTGATCCTGAAATAACTCATGAATAGTTGCATCTCAGTCATATAACTTTTTTCATATACTTGAATTAAATGATTTAGTCATAGTTTCAACATGATCATGTAATACATTTCAAGTTGAGGCATCATTATTCAAGTTAGGAAAAAAAGTTGAGTAGTCATTATGATAATCCAACTCTATTAATTATCGTCCC